TCTGGGCACTCTGTGCCAGGGCCTGCCCACCTGAACGTGCCAGAGCCCCTGGAAGCAGAAGGAGAAGGAGGGGAAATGGTTTTACCTGCAAAGCAGTGAAAATGTAACACATGGGGATGGAATTTGGAGACCAAAATTTGGTTACTGAAATGTTTCAATAATTTTTTTATTCCTCCTCTTCCTTTAGAAACTTCTCCCCATTTACCAGCCCCCCAAAACGTGGAGGTTTATTCCTACAACTTCCAGAGTTTGCTGAGGTGGTCTCCAGTTCCAGTGGAGAATGGCTCGGTGTTGTACACAGCCCAGTACAGAACGTGAGTAAACAGTGAATTAAACCAAGAGAGAGGGGGAGCACTGAGGGGAGTGAACGTGCCCCAGACTTCCCTGCATTCCCCATTCCCCTGGAATTCCCCATCCCCATTCCCCTGGAATTCTCCATTCCCATTCCCATAGAATTCTCCATTCCCATGGAATTACCCATCCCCATTCCCATGGGATTGCCCATCCCAATTCCAATGGAATCATCCATCCCCATTCTCCTGGAATTCTCCATCCCCATTCCCATGGGATCACCCATCCCCATTCCCCTGGGATTCTCCATCCCCATTCCCATGGGATTACCTGTCCCCATTTCCAGGGAATCATCCATCTCCATTCCCATGGAATTCTTCATTCCCATTCCCATGGGATTACCCATTCCCATTCCCATGGGACTATCCATCCCCATTTCCAGGAAATCATCCATCCCCATTCTCCTGGAATTACCCATCCCCATTTCCATGAAATTACACATCCCCATTCCCATGGGATTACCCATCCCTATTCCCCTGGGATTCTCCATCCCCATTCCCATGGGATTATCTATCCCAATTCCCATGGGATTACCCATCCCCATTCCCCTGGGACTCTCCATCCCCATTCCCATGGAATCATCCATCCCCATTTCCCTGGGATTACCCATCCCCATTTCCATGGGATTCTCCATCCCCATTCCCATGGGATTCCCCATCCCCAGGTGCCACTGAGCCCATCTTTGGGGAATCCCTGCCAGGGCAGAGCCAGCCACCCGAATTCCTCAGCCTGCCCTCCCAGGGACACCCAATTCCTGCACAGGGAGGAGGAATTCTGTCCCTGGGCACCCCCAGCAGCACGGAGCCCTCATTGGATACCCCAAACACAATCCCAGCCTCTGCTCTGCAGAAAAAACTCCCCACAAACCGGGATTCACACCCAGATCCCATCAGGATTCACACCCAAATCCTGCATGGATTCACACCCAGATCCCATCTGGATTCACACCCAAACCCCACCTGGATTCACACCCAAATCCTGCATGGATTCACACCCAGATCCTGCATGGATTCACACCCAAACCCCACCTGGATTCACACCCAAACCCCACCTGGATTCACACCCAAATCCCGCATGGATTCACACCCAAATCCCGCCTGGATTCGCACCCAAATCCTGCATGGATTCACACCCAAATCCCACCTGGACTCATCACCCACCGAGTTCTCTGCTACCAGTTTATTTATCTGTTATTTATCTATTCATTTATCCATTTTTAAATGTATCTATTTCTCACCTGGGATTCCCCATCAAGGATATGGCTCTGAACTAATAAAAAACTGTAATAATAGAGAAATAAAACCTAGTCAATTCTAAATAAATAAAAATAATAATATATAAATCAAAACCTAACCAATTCTAAATAAATGAATGGAACCTAATAATGAATAAATAAATAAAAACTAACAAATTATAAACAGATGGAACTTAATAGTAAATAAACAAACCCCAATGAACTCTAAAGAAATAGATTTTTAAAGCTAAGAAACCTAATCAATTTTTAATAAGTAAACCCTAATAATAAATAAATAGAACCTAACCAATTATAAGCAAATAAAACCTAACAAAGAAATAAACAAACACTAATCAATTCTAAATAAATAAAACCTAATAATAAATGAAACCTAATCAATTCTAAATAAGTAAAGCCTAATAATAAATAAAGAAACCCTAATAAGGTATAAATCAATCAGTCCTAATAAGTAAGCAAGCCCTAATCAATTCTAAAAAAACAAACAAGTAAAAGCTAATAATAAATAAATAAAATCTAATCAATTACAAATAAATAAATAAAATAAAAAAATAAATAAATCCTAATAATAAATACATCAAGCTAAATCAATTATAAATATATTAAACCCAATAGTAAATAAAACCTAATACATTAGAAATAAATAAACAAAACTCAATAATTAATAAATAAACCATAACCAATTATGAATGAATCCTAATAATAAATAAATAAACTCTGATAAAATCTAAATAAATAAGCCCTAACAACGATTTAGGCCAGTCCCAGGATGCATTCCAAGGCAGAAGGGATGGCAAAGTCCCAGTGACCAACCATGGAAAATCCTCCCTCAGCTCCTTCTGAAGAACTCTGGGGTTCTTGGCTTTCCCTATCAGGTATTAGCTTTTGCAATTTCTTATTTATAATAATGCAATAATATAATATTTATAATAATAATTGTATTATTTCCGTATGAATTATATGGATTATTTATACGTTAATAACAACAATTACAGTTTGTGATCACTTTGAGCTGCTTTAATATATACAATTTATCACCTGGCCCTGTGCAGACTGTGCATTTCAGTGTGACAAACACACATTTTAGTTCAGGTGTTGGAACCCTGCTTACTCAGAATTTCAGACTCTGTGCTGACAGGCACTGACCCCAAAAGAACACCTGAGGCTGTGGAGAAAGCTTCCAAAACTGAATGATAAAAATAAGATTAGAAGTGTGCACTTTAAACAGAAGTGTGTAATATCACATAGGAGAATCTTAGAGTTTAAAGTTGTAGAATAGAATAATATGTATAAAACAAGATAGAAGTTTAGAGAAGAGACTTGTCCTTCTTCTTCACCTTCTTTTCCATGGGTGTGGGTGGTACTTAATTAAATAAAAAAATAATAAAATGAAAAGAAATAAAAAGAAACAAAACAATTAAATAATGAAATAAATTTTAAATTAATAAAAATAATTAAATCAAATTAAATTTAAAAAGAAATAAAAAAGGAATTAAATAAAAAAATAATTAAATAAAAAAGGAATTAAAGAAAAAAGGAATTAAATAAAAAAGTCCACACTGTGGACCACAAGTAGTTAGTTAAGAGTTAAAAATAATTTAAGTGTCATTTCTTAATTAGACAGTTTATCCTTAAAAAATCTTATAGAGATACAACTCCATTTTTAGTTTATTAAAATAAAGTGCTATAAAACTCACAGTTTATAAAAGCATAATATAGATAAAAACTAATAAATATTTAAATCCAAACAAGAATACAATCTCATACATTTAATCCCAACAATAACAAAAACAAAACAAAACAAAAAAACCCCAAAAACCCAAAAAAACTCCACATTTGGGCTTTGGCAAAATATTCAAATAGAGACTGTGTTGTGCATTGTGATGTTAAATGTTTTTGTTTGTGTAACTCACTGACCATGGTGAGAGTAACTCAGGTAATTTGGGAAAGAGTAACTCAGGTAATTTGGGAAGTGGCTGATGTTGATTTCATGACTTGTGCAGAACCTTGTCTGTGTAAGATAACATTGCAAAGAAAACAAACAAGAATGCAAGGAAGGATTTATCACTGACCTTTGGTTACTGAGAACTCTCAAACCACAGAACAGGGGCCTTGTGAGAACATAAAACAATAAATTTCACCTGCAGTACTTTCCAAAGATGGGTCAAGAGTTGAACCAGAACTGCAAACTCAAGGGATGTTTGAATATCCATAATCTTCATGAACATGCATCTGAGCAATGCAATTGAAAATTAAAGAAGGAAATGATTTTAAACTAACTGGCGTGCCTCTGCCAAGCTCCCAGTGCTGCAGAAGTCCCTTTTATCCCTTATTAAACTGTTCAAATTTTGAAGAGTCAGGCTGTTTGTCACAAGCTCAATCCCAGGACACAAAACCTGCCCCACCACCCTCCCCTCCCCGGGGCTGGGAGCTGATATTGAATTTATCCCACAAAATCAACAGGGATTAAATGTTTCTGGTTTCACTAAGACCCACCTCGAGGCACCTCCCAACGTCCACACAGAGCAGTCCAGCTTTCCTGGGACAGGATTCCAACATCTGCAGCATAAATCCAGGGAAGAGAACCACAGAGTAACAGAATTGTTCAGGCTGGGAAAGCTCCGAGCTCATCCTGCTGGGAATACCCTGACCAAGGGGAAGGGAACCCCCCAAGGGCCACACTGCTCAGAAATACCTTGGGATGAGCAATCCATTTAATTACAGTTCCCTTTTACTCTGAGGTGAAGAGTTCTGTGAACTGTGAAATTCTGGTCAAATCCTTTTCCCAGTATTTCTGGATACATCTGAAAAATCAGAATGAGGCTGACTTGGGCATTTAGGAACTTAATTTTCCAGTTTAAATATTTGATTAAAAAAAAAAACCCAAACAAACAAACAAACAAAAAAAACACCCACAAAAAAATAATTGTTATTATCATTAAAATATTCATATTAGATATTTAAATACTCATTGAATCAAGGAGTTTTTCCATCTCACTGTCCTGGTTTTGCTGCTTCTGGCCCCACTGGAAAGAGCTGGTATAAGGTTTTCTGTAAGCACATTTAGAGCACAAAATACAATAATAATAACAATAAATATCCATTCATTAGCATCCATTTGGTTCTGCACTCCAGAGGAAAATGGGGCTGCCTGTGAATTATCCTGCCTCTTTCAGGAACATTCACTGGGTGCTCTGCTTAAACTCTGGCAGTGAAATCCCTCCCATGAGTTAACTTTTGTCCAAATGATGCCATTAATTCCATTTATATATAATTTATATGGGACATTCCATTCTATCCTTCACACTGGGATTTTCAGGAAGGACAGCTCCTCATGGAACTCCACAGGGCAGCTTCCATGCCACTACACCAAAACCACACAGGACCAAGAGAGGGATAAGAAGCAAATGTGCAAAATTTATTATGTTCTTCAATGAACACAGGAACAGGAAATTTATAAAATTAGGTAGTATCTTCAAAATTAAAAAAAAAAAAAAAAGTTATATAAACACCAAGAGTTCTTAGATAGAACAACAACAGCAGTCCATGGGATCCCTGCACCCAGCTGACTCCTAAGAACTTTCTCCATAAAAAAATAAGGTACTTAAGAAAAAATGGCTCCAGAAGACAGTGGAGTCAGCATGGAAAATATGGAATATGGAAACTGAAATGTTGCTGCAGCACATCCTGATTGTTTGTCCAAAGAAAAGTCTGTTGGCAAAACAGGGAAAGCTCTGAGTGCCAAGCTCAGCCCTCTGCTAAAGGCATTCCTAAATTCCACCAGGGTCCTGCTAATCCCAGAATGAGTTTGGAGAGACTTTAAAGCTCATCCCAACCCCCCCTGCCATGGCAGGGACACCTTCCACTGTCCCAGGCTGCTCCAGCCCCAGGGTCCAACCTGGCCTGGGACATTCCAGGGATGGGGAGTGAGACGTGGAACAAGCACTGGGAACATTCCCAGACACATCCATGAGGAACTCCGTGAGGAACCCTGTGAGGAACCTCCTGAGGAACCCTGTGAGGAACCTCCTGAGGAACCCTGTGAGGAACCTCCTGAGGAATCCCCTGAGGAACCCTGTGAGGAACCTCCTGAGGAACCCTGTGAGGAACCTCCTGAGGAATCCAGTGAGGAACCTCCTGAGGAATCCTGTGAGGAACCCCAGCCTCCTCACTGCTGCTCCTCTTGCTCCCCTGGCACCTTTAGCTCTGGACCTGCTGAGCCAAGCAGGGGCTGGAAGAGCAAGTGAAAATTCCACAGGTTTGTGTCCAGCATGGATTTCCTCTGGCTGTGTAAACACTGTGGGAGTAACTCCACACAACTCTGCTGGAGCAGGCAGGCTCTGCTCAGCTCACAGCTTCAAGTAGAGAAGTGCCCAAAGCTGCTCCTGGTGCATAGGGACAGCCCTGGGTGGGGTGGGGACACTGGGGTCATTCCCAGCCAGGGCTGAGGAGCTCCCCCAGCAAGGGCAGCCCTGGGAACCCAAATCCAGCAATCCCAAAGGTCACACTGTCCCCTTGAGGATCCCAAAGGTCCCAGTGTCCCCATAGGATCCCAAAGGTCCCAGTGTCCCCATAGGATCCCAAAGGTCACAGTGTTCCCATAGGAACCCAAAGATCACAGTGTCCCCTTGAGGATCCCAAAGGTCCCAGTGTCCCCATAGGATCCCAAAGATCACAGTGTCCCCCTGAGGATCCCAAAGGTCCCAGTGTTCCCATAGGAACCCAAAGGCCACACTGTCCCCTTGAGGATCCCAAAGGTCCCAGTGTCCCCCTGAGGATCCCAAAGGTCCCAGTGTCCCCCTGAGGATCCCAAAGGTCCCAGTGTTCCCACTGGAACCCAAAGGCCACACTGTCCCCTTGAGGATCCCAAAGGTCCCAGTGTCCCCCTCAGGCTGGGATTTCCATCACAAAGAGGTTTGAAGTGTTTGTGAAGTTGACAATCCCATAAAGGAATTTCCTTTGCCCAAAGTTACAGCATTCCCCTTTCCAGTGTTTCTTTGGATCCTTTGCTCCCAGAAGTGTTGTCGTCGTTGGAATAATTCCCTGAGTCTCGACTGCTGTGCTTGGAATGACTGTAATCTGTAAAAACAATCTGATTTCCCTCTTCTGTGACCATGGATTCAATCACACAGCAATTTTCCACTGATTCCTCTGCTGCAGCTGACAGGTAAGGGCTGCTGAAGGGCCGTGCTCCAAATCCCTGAGGACAGAAGGGGAAGAGATGAACATCCATAAATAATAATTATATACTGATTTAAATCATTAAATACTAATTCTGCTAAACATCACAGTCACACAAATGTGATTTATCTTTACTGTGAAGGTGGGCAGGCCCTGGCACAGGTGCCCAGAGCAGCTGGGGCTGCCCCTGGATCCCTGGCAGTGCCCAAGGCCAGGCTGGACACTGGGGCTGGAGCAGCCTGGCACAGGGGAAGGTGTCCCTGCCAGGGCAGGGTGGCACTGGGTGGGCTGTGAGGTCCCTTCAGCCCAAACCAGCCTGGGGTTCCCTGCTCATGTTGAGCAGCATTGAGTGGTTTCCCACCCCTAACACAACACTTGTTTCCCTAGGGTGACCAACTCAGATTTAGGATGAAGTTTAGTTCACAGAATCTCAAATCCCTGGGGCTGGCACAGCCCTGCCAGCCCAGGCAGTGCCAGCTGTGCCCCATGGCCACCTTGTCCCCAGCCCAGAGCACTCAGTGCCACCCCCAGGGGACACCTGCAGGGATGGGCACTGCAAAGCTCCCTGGGCAGCCCCTGCCAAGGCCTGAGCACCCTTTCCATGGGCAAATTCCTGCTGCTGTCCCAGCTGAGCCTGCCCTGGCCCAGCCTGAGGCCGTTCCCTCTGCTCCTGTCCCTGTTCCCTGGAGCAGATGCCAGCTCCCACCTCCCAGCTGCATTCACAGATTCCAACACTAAAGGGTGACTCCAACATTTTATCTCAGCCCTTTTCCTGTTCTCAGCTGTCAATAACCACAGAACTGCAACATTTCATGCATTGGAGCCTGAGGAGGCCACACAAGAATTAAAAGAGGTACAGAGGTTTCAAGACACACTTGAGTGTTGCCCTTCTCATTCCAGAACAGGATCCCAGCTAAGCAGCACCTGTGCCAAGCTGGAGACTGGACAAAGCTCTGGAGACCACTGATAAAACCTCTGAAATGAACCCTGGCTGACCCATAAGAGATAAACATATTTTTTCCATGGTATTTGAAGTTCATTGTCCTACAAGGAAGCTGTGTGATGACTGAGAAGCCAGAGCTCACCTCGATGTTCAGGGGGGGCTGGCAGGAGGGGAAGAACACGTATTTGATCTTGTTGTAGGCTTGGTAGAGCACAAAAACAAGAGGAGTGGCCACCAGCAGGACAAGCAGCAGGGCACCCATGAAAATCCCAAAAATGATCAGAGGTAAAGGTGTACCTAAAACGGGAATAAAAACCATTCAGTTGAGGTATTCAGAACCAGCAGAAATTAAAGCACAGCTCCAAATGTGCTGCAGAATTTATCAAATAATTCAACATTTCCACATCATGGAAACACTCCACATTTCCACAGCCATGGGCACCAGGGAAAAGTGATGCTGTTCCAGTGTCTGAGATAATTTTGCTTAAAGAAGCCACAGTATATCTCCCAATACAAGAACACAGAATCACCAAGGTGGGAAGAGACCTCCAAGATGCTCCAGTCCCTCCAGCACCCCAGCACCAGCTGGGAATGCTCCCCTGGAGAGGAGAAGCTGGGGAGTGGAATGAAATGATCCTCAAGGTCCTTCCCACCCAAACCCTTCCATGATTATCTCAACAAACTGAAAGGAGTTTGGTGATACTGGAATTAACAGGCACCAGCAGCCACTTTCCAAGTAATCCAAAGGACACAATCAGGTCTTATTTCATGATCAAAGAATGGAAGATTTTCACTCTGGGCTATAAAAACACAGGAAAGACAAAGCATGGTCTGTCCTGAAGGCATTGCTTGGATTTAAAGAGATTCACTGAAATAGCAGGATAAGGGGAAGAGGAATACCTAGGAAAAGAGATTAAAATATTTATCTTATTCAGGTAAAAAGTAGCATTTGGTTCTTTTTTGGCTTGATAAGACACGGCACTGAGGACCACAATATAAATGAATCCTGAATGTGAGCCAGGCATTGCTGTTATTACATTTTCTTGGCTTTAAGGCAGTTTGAAGAGTCAGAAATTTTCACAGTGTTAATAAAATTTTACGTGGCAAATTATCTTCACCATGATTTGCTCTTCTGTTCTGAGTGAGTGCAATCCCCCCACTCCCCTTTGGCACCAAGATGAGCTTTCAGCCCTAACAAATCTGATTTATCTCCTCACTCTTCAGCACAGGAGATTCCTTCCCAGAAGGACTAAGACAGTTTCAAGGATAAAACACCCCTGAAAATGTGGAATTTAGTGATTCCTTGCCCCCTCCCAAGATGTAGGGCTGGGAAGCGAAGCTCTCTGCCCGGCCAGTGCTCCCAGTGTTGGCAGGAGTGCTGATTTCCCAGGGAAGGGGTAACAATCCCAGCTGCAGAGGGGGATTGCTGCCAGGCTGTGCCCACCTCCAGGGGTGTGGATGCATTCCTGCTGGCTGTAGGCACTGCTTTTGTTGTAGGGCTCAGAGAAGGCCTGGACTCTGACACAGTACAGCGTGGAGGGGGACACATCAGGGACTGTGGCTATGGTCTGCTTCACCTCCTTCTGCTTCACCTCCTCCTGGGAAAAGCAAAACAGGGAAAAGGAGGGATCAGATCCCATGGACAGGAGTCTCAAACAGGTGAGAGCTGCAGCCTCTGATGGAGAAGTGACCCTGTGAAATGTCAGACATTGCTGCAGCCCCAGGATCTGCAGGGCTGGAGACTTTCCAGCTCATCCAGATCCACATCCAGGTGCCTCTGGAACATTTCCAGGAACTCCATCACCTCCCTGGGCACCCAGATTCAGTAAAATAAATAAACTGCCCCTTAGCTCCCAAGCAAAACTCAGCAAACACTTCCTGGGCAAGAACCAAGTGCTTCCCCCATTCTGAAATGTCACAATTCCAAGTTTCCAGGAAACTCCTTCCTGCTGCAGTTTGCTTCCTTCTCTTCTGCCCCCCATTTTGCCAATTACTGTGAAACATTTTACCCTAAGAAGTATTTAAAGAACATGGAAAGATCCATTAAAATATGAGCTAAAAGGATGCAGGACTTCAGTGTTTGAGGAGCTTTTTCCATCCCATCACACACAGCCACATCCATGGAATTGGAGATGTTACCCCATCACTGGGAGATAAAATCACAGTGAACAGATTTCCAAAAGAGTTACATAAAAATCCCAACCACTGGGTGACAAAAGTCACAGTGCTCAGGTTTTTGATAGAACCTTCAATCAAAAAATCCAATAAATTGACTTTTTAAAAGACTGATATACCACAGATGTGCCTCTTTTGGAAAGGAGCTCCTCAGGGAAAATGAAAACTCAGGATTTAAGCCAGAATCAATTTTATATTGCATGTAATTTGTTCACACCTTCATATCTGAGGAATTCTTCCAGTACAGGATCCTGTAGGACAAGTCATAATGGTCCCTCATGACTTCATCCTCATCTCCTCCTGGAGGAGAAATAAGGATGTGGAGCAAAGTATCACTGAGGTCCAGCCTTACACCAGGAGGGCCAATTCCATCTGAAAACAATCAAATAAATAATTAAAATCCAATTAAAACACTGCTTCAAAGACTGCCAGTGAAATCCATGATAACTTTGAAGAATCATACAGTTAGAAGTACGATTTCATAGTTCTATACAGAATATCAAGTCCTGAGGAACATTTCAATGAATTTCACTATGTTCTTGTGAAATCCCCTCTCCAGGCTGTGTCAGCTCATAAAGCCACGTGGCAGGAGTTTGCTGAGCAACGAGCACTTCAGGAAACCATTTCCTTACTTGTTTTCAGAGGATCCACTTTGACTTCCCTGGAGAAGCAGGATTTGGTGTGTCCCTCCCTGGCCTGCACTCGCAGGTAATAAAATCCATTGGGGGTGATGATGGAGGAGAAGTTGCAGCAGGTGCTGGTGGTGTTCTCACAGCCAGGGACACTGAGCCACTTGTCTGAGAAATCACCATTGAGCTTCTTCCAGAAACCACTGCAACAGAGAATTCAAGAGTTTTCATGTCAGCTCCCTGAACTCCTCTAGAAAATCACATTTGTTTGTGCTGCACTTGGCTCAGTTTTGGGCAAAAAAGGCTCTAGTAATAAAAAAAAAAAAAAAAAAAAAAAAAACCAACCAAACCAAACACCCAACATTTGAATATGAGACATTTCTGAGTGGAACAATGAAGATAAAAGGGCCAGGGAATACAAATCAGGGCTTTAGCCAAGCCTCAGCAGAGAAATGAAAAGTGGGGTGGGCAGGTTCTGAGAATCCAAATGAGAAGTTCTCACGTAGCTCTGTGCAGTCCACTGCTTTCCTGCCATGCCAAAGAATTCCCAAGGAATGCCAGGGGATCCCTCCTCTTCTGTTAGGTGCTGGCCACTATATTTATGCAGCAGCTGGAGATTGAGATACAGATTTTAGAGCTGCTTCCTAATGGGATTTTATGGATGTGATTCGATGGGTTTTTATGGGATATCATGGGGGTTTTAATGGCATTCCTTGTTTTTTGATGCAATATGATTTTTATCTGGTTTTCTTTTTGTGATAAAGTGTTTTTGTGTGTGATATGATGGGGTTTGATGTGATACAAGGGTTATTGCATGTGACATGAGGGGGTTTTTGTATGACTTGATGGGTTTTTTATGGGACACAACATTTCTTTTATGGGACAATATTTCTTTTATGGGACACAACATTCTTTTAATGTAACACAACATTTCTTTTATGGGACACATTTTTTTATGTGACACAGTGTGCTGCCTTGGGTTTTCTCCCCTATTTGGGTGTGCCCAGAAGAAATCCAAGCTGCTGCCAACTGAAACCTCCACCACCTGTACTTCTGCTCACTTTTACTCATCTGATTTCTTCACATTCAAAAAGCCACTAAGCAGTTCAAGCTTCCCAGCTTTAAAAATGTCCCTCAGCATTCAGGAGTCCCTTCCATCAGGAGTTTAACCCCCCAAAAGCAGCCCAGTGCCCCGAAATCCCAGGTGTTACATGGAATTCTTTCAACAGCAGTGAGCCATTCACGTTCCCATCAGCACACGAAGCCAGCAAATATTTCATTTTAACCTCCAGGAAACACTTGCAGAACACAATAAAAGGGATTTCAGATGGCAGGGCTGGGAATGGCTGAACTCACAGCAGGTACTGCACGTTGTAGTTCACATCCTGATTTTCCTGGCTGCTCCAAAGCAGGTGGAATTTCATGTTCAGAGCCAGGACACTCAGGTTGGTGGCACACAGGGGGTCGTTCACTGCTCAGGAGGAAAAAGAAAGCCAAAGTTACCAAAAACCTTCATGTTCTGGACAGGGAATGGACATTTCTAATGTCAATAATGAAAACATGAACATTATTAATTATACAGGTTGCAAGTCACAGGCTGTGAAGTGCAAAGCATCCTATCAAGCCTTTAATTTAAAAAATCAGTTAAAATCAATTCAGAAAAAAATGAAAGTGTACAAATATTGAGAGGAGCAGAAATAAACTGGTTTGGGAATAACATGAGGAGAAAAATGTATAAAATACACATCTGTATTTATTGTACTTTTTTTTTGTTTTAATATTTTATTATAATATGAATGTGACACAATATTTTATTAAAATAGGAAAACTTGAATGTATCAGCTATTGTAATTTTATTAAGATACACATATATTATTTTAATATTTAAAAAATACACATGTATTCTTTTAATTTTTTAAAAGACACAGATGTGTATTAATTAATGTATTATGGGTATAAAGTAATTTTCATTTACCATCAATCACTTACATTTTGATGTACCATCAACTCATTATGATGTACCACCCCTGTCCAATCTAACATTTGACTTTCTGCAGTTATTTTTTCCTAAAATAAACATCTAAATCAACAGCACAGCACAGAAAATAAGTTAATTTTACATAACAAGGTGGCAAACTGCCCCCTCAAAGCCTTTCTTCAGCAGCTGTAACAATCAATTCACCAAGGATTATATAAAACCAGCATTTTTTTAAGCTCAGCTCAACTTTCTGTGCATTCATTGATTGCCAAGTATTTTGGTTTTTTACCTCCTGCTTCAGTCACTGATTCAAAAAGAAGACTTTTCCAAAGCACACAAAGAAGTTTTTGTTCCAAATGAATGTCAAAGTTTGCCTCATGGCAAAAAAATTTCTTGTACTACTAAAACTCTACCCTTGACGTATTTTATGTTGGTTGACAAGGGCAAATATAGATAATATATATTTTTTTTTATACAAAATGAGGAGGAATTTGGCCCTTCTGCCCACTCCTGCTGCCTCAGAACACCTGGCTGTGTGCCAGTTCAAGAGAAGCCATCATTTGCAGGTAACCTGATTTCCTGGGTACCTTTCTGGGTGGTTTTCACACAGCTGGTGGGGCTGAACAAGCCTTCCTTTCCCTCCATGGGGAGATTTGCTTGGACTTTGAAGCAATAGGTGCTGTCTGGGGCAAGGTCATGAATGTTGTCAACAGGGAAAATGTTTTTACTCTGCAGCTGGAAGAAGCAAACACAAAGAGCCTGTGAGGGGAACTGTGCTTCCCCAGAACATTTTCAAATGATCATTTCAGCCCATTTGTATCATCCCCCACCTAAAAAGGTGAAATAGAGAAAGCAGGACAGTGTTTGAGCTGGAGAAATCCTAAAGGGAGGTTTGCAGCTTAGCCAAAGACTGACAGGCAGGAATATTTTGGCTCCTTTGCCATGGCAGTGGGGAGGGATTGCTCACCCCACAGACATCCCAGGATGAAGCAGGACATTCCCATCCCTCCACCACCCAAACACTCCTCTCTCCTCTGCCTTTGGCTCCCCAGACTGACCATACCCAACTGTACTTCTGGGCCTTTTTCTCCTTTGGTGTGCAATCCCAAAATCCCAGAGGTGGGAAGAGCCCTCCAGGACCACCCAGTGCCACCCCAGCCCCAGCAGCATCACCCCAAAGCCTGTCCCCAAGGCCACATCCAGACTCCTCTGGGACAATCCCAGTGACTCCAAACCTCCCTGGGCAGCTCAGCCCAAGGCCTGACCACTCTGAGAGGGGAATGTTATTCTGTCTTTAATCTGAACCTCACCTGGTGCACCTTGAGGCCATTCCCTCTTGTCCTTTCCTCATCCCTGTGTTTCCCCCCTGTCAGGCTGTCCCCTCCTGGCAGGGACTTGTGCAGAGCCACAAGGGCCCCTGAGCCTCCTTTGCTCCAGGCTCAGCCCCTTCCCAGCTCCTCAGCAATTCTCCAGCCCCTTCCCAGCTCCTCAGGAATTCTCCAGCCCCTTCCCAGCTCCCTCAGGAATTCTCCAGCCCCTTCCCAGCCCTGGACCTGCTCCAGCCCCTCAAGGTTCTTTCTGAAGTGATGATTTTGAGCTGATCTCCCAAAAGAACACAGACTGCCCTTCGATCCCTGCCCTAATTTAGATGACTCTCACTTCCCTAAAAAAGATAAAAAAGGAAGAGTTTCTCCCCTGCTCCTCACAGGAGAGCTCTGGGTGCTCTGCAGGACACACATGCTGCCTTGGAAACCAGTTCACAATGGCAACAACTCAAAAAAGTCCCTGGATCAGGGCAATCCCAATAAAAAAATCCTATGGTAAGAACAAAATCTTCCCACCAAGAAAAAAACCACCTCCCCCAGCCTTCAGACACACAGGAGCAGTTACACAGTGACAGAAGCAAACAATTCCATTTCAGAGTACAAATTAAATTCCATCTCTGACAGTTCATCTCAGGTAAGGTTAAATAACAAAAAAGAAGTGCTGATACCTGAGCATGTGAGGAGTTTTCCCAGAAGACCAGGTTATATTTAAAACTCAGGTCATTGATCCACATTTTTTTCCTCTGATTTGCTTCTGGAGGAGAAACCATAACTTTTACAACTCCATTTGTGGACTGCAATTCCAGTCCTGGTGGACCAATCTGGGCTGCAAATATGGAAAGAAAAAAGAAGTTAAAAATGTCTACTTTGAGAAAATACACCCCAAAAGCAGTATACAATAATAAACCTAAAGTACCTGCCTATGGTGTCTTATTTCTAATTCTTTTGAATAATCACCTACAGGATCTTAAGTTTTCATAACTCAGGCAGTTTTTAAAAGAAATTTAACCTAACAACCAACTACCATCACCAGGTTCTAAAAGCAGTTAAAATTAAATACTACCAGCAAATGTTTTCCAAAAAAAATCAGTATAAATTATTCTAAAACCTGCAAGGCAAGAGACTTAGCTCAGTCCAACAAATCCAGCATCAAAGAAGGGCTTCAGTACCACTGGAACTGCTGAAAAGCCACAAACTTCCCAAAAATGGGGTTCTTGGAGCAACCTGGTCTATGAAAGGTGTCCCTGCCCATGGCAGAGGGTGGAATGGCATGGGCTTTAAGGCCCCTCCCAGTCCACACCAGTTTGGGATTCTACAAAAATCTACTGTCAAAAAGGACTTTTCCAAGAAATAATATGGGAAAATACAGAGTGACAGGAAATTCAGTCAGGAAACCAGCACCACCTGGAATAGTTTTCCCTCTCCAGAAAAGACAGAATTGCAGCATTCCATGACCTGCAGATGCCTGATCTTATGTTCCTGCTGGGAAACTCCACCTGTCCTGCTGTTACCAGCAGTGGAAACCACACGTGGCTCTTCCACAATCCCTCATTCCTGACTGCTTTGGGTTGGAAGGACCAGAAATCCCAGCCAGTGCCACCCCTGCCATGGCAGGGACACCTTCCCCTGTGCCAGGCTGCTCCAGCCCCAGTGTCCAGCCTGGCCTTGGGCACTGCCAGGGATCCAGGGGCAGCCCCAGCTGCTCTGGCAATTCCATCCCAGCCCTGCCCACCCTGCCAGGGAACAATTCCTCATTGCCCAGATCCCATCCTGGTGGACCAATCTGGGCTGCAAATATGGAAAGAAAAAAGAAGTTAAAAATGTCTACTTTGAGAAAATACACCCCAAAAGCAGTATACAATAATAAACCTAAAGTACCTGCCTATGGTGTCTTATTTCTAATTCTTTTGAATAATCACCTACAGGATCTTAAGTTTTCATAACTCAGGTAGTTTTTAAAAGAAATTTAACCTAACAACCAACTACCATCACCAGGTTCTAAAAGCAGTTAAAATTAAATACTACCAGCAAATGTTTTCCAAAAAAATCAGTATAAATTATTCTAAATTTTCAGTATAATTATTCTAAATCTGCAAGGCAAGAGACTTAGCTCAGTCCAACAAATCCAGCATCAAAGGAGGGCTTCAGTACCACTGGAACTGCTGAAAAGCCACAAACTTCCCAAAAATGGGGTTCTTGGAGCAACCTGGTCTATGAAAGGTGTCCCTGCCCATGGCAGAGGGTGGAATGGCATGGGCTTTAAGGCCCCTCCCAGTCCACACCAGTTTGGGATTCTACAAAAATCTACTGTCAAAAAGGACTTTTCCAAGAAATAATATGGGAAAATACAGAGTGACAGGAAATTCAGTCAGGAAACCAGCACCACCTGGAATAGTTTTCCCTCTCCAGAAAAGACAGAATTGCAGCATTCCATGACCTGCAGATGCCTGATCTTATGTTCCTGCTGGGAAACTCCACCTGTCCTGCTGTTACCAGCAGTGGAAACCACACGTGGCTCTTCCACAATCCCTCATTCCTGACTGCTTTGGGTTGGAAGGACCAGAAATCCCAGCCAGTGCCACCCCTGCCATGGCAGAGGTCCAAACCCTCCCCTGAGGTGCTAAAGGAAGCAAAGTGTCCCCAGCAGCCCCGAGCTCGTACCGACTTGCTCTGGAACCATCTCCAGGACCTCGGACCACGGGGACAGCAGCGGCCCTGCCTGCGCCCTGACGCGCACGTAGTGGGCATCGTAGTACTCGGAGATGGCCGAGGAGAAGTCACAGCCTGTGCCAGCCACAGCCTGGCACCCTGGCAGCTCCTGCCAGCCCGTGTCCTCCAGCTCCGGCCTGCGGGACAGAGAACAGCCCGGATTAAACAACAGCCCCAGGAGAAACCCCCCAGGAGAAACAACAGTCCCAGGAGAAACAACATCCACAGGAGAAACGCCCCAGACAAACAACAACCCCAGGAGAAACACCCTGGACTAAACACCCCCAGGAGAAACAACAGTCCCAGGAGAAACAACATCCACAGGAGAAACGCCCCAGACAAACAACAACCCCAGGAGAAACACCCTGGACTAAACACCCCCAGGAGAAACAACAGTCCCAGGAGAAACAACATCCACAGGAGAAACGCCCCAGACAAACAACAACCCCAGGAGAAACACCCTGGACTAAACACCCCCAGGAGAAACAACAGTCCCAGGAGAAACAACATCCACAGGAGAAACGCCCCAGACAAACAACAACCCCAGGAGAAACACCCTGGACTAAACACCCCCAGGAGAAACAACAGTCCCAGGAGAAACAACATCCACAGGAGAAACGCCCCAGACAAACAACAACCCCAGGAGAAACACCCTGGACTAAACACCCCCAGGAGAAACAACAGTCCCAGGAGAAACAACATCCACAGGAGAAACGCCCCAGACAAACAACAACCCCAGGAGAAACACCCTGGACTAAACACCCCCAGGAGAAACAACAGTCCCAGGAGAAACAACATCCACAGGAGAAACGCCCCAGACAAACAACAACCCCAGGAGAAACACCCTGGACTAAACACCCCCAGGAGAAACAACAGTCCCAGGAGAAACAACATCCACAGGAGAAACGCCCCAGACAAACAACAACCCCAGGAGAAACACCCTGGACTAAACACCCCCAGGAGAAACAACAGTCCCAGGAGAAACAACATCCACAGGAGAAACGCCCCAGACAAACAACAACCCCAGGAGAAACACCCTGGACTAAACACCCCCAGGAGAAACAACAGTCCCAGGAGAAACAACATCCACAGGAGAAACGCCCCAGACAAACAACAACCCCAGGAGAAACACCCTGGACTAAACACCCCCAGGAGAAACAACAGTCCCAGGAGAAACAACATCCACAGGAGAAACGCCCCAGACAAACAACAACCCCAGGAGAAACACCCTGGACTAAACACCCCCAGGAGAAACAACAGTCCCAGGAGAAACAACATCCACAGGAGAAACGCCCCAGACAAACAACAACCCCAGGAGAAACACCCTGGACTAAACACCCCCAGGAGAAACAACAGTCCCAGGAGAAACAACATCCACAGGAGAAACGCCCCAGACAAACAACAACCCCAGGAGAAACACCCCAGGAGAAACAACAGCCCCAGGAGAAACAGCCCAGATAAACAATACCCCAGGAGAAACAACACCCTGAGGACAAACATCCCCAGGATAAACTACACCCTCAGGATAAGCAGCCTGGGATAAACACTCAAGAATAAAAGACCCCCCCAGGACAAACACCCCCAGGAGAAACAACACCCCAAGATCAACAACACCCCAGGATAAACAACACGCCCAGGATAAACAGGCCAGATTCAACAACACCCCCAGGACAAACCACAATCCCCAGGAGAAACACCCTGGACTAAACACCCCCAGGAGAAACAAGACCCCAGAATAAAAAACACCCCCAGGACAAACAGCCCAGATTAAATGACACCCCCAGGTTAAACACCCCTGATAAACAATACCCCAGGAGAAACAACAGCCCCAGGAGAAACAAACACCCTGGGATCAACACCCTGTGAGAAACAAGGCTCACTCCAAGATTCTGAGAAGTTGAATAAGGGCTGGAAGGGACAGTTCCCAGTGCGGGGTGCCTGGCAGACTGCCAGGAGCACACAGGAACTGAAACAGCTCTGAGGTGCTCTCTGATGGCATGGGCCACATGAATATTCATGAGGATTATACATATTCAACCTTCCCTCGGCTTCACATGCTCCAGCAATTCTTTATCTTCCTTCGGCCCCTGGCCTCACCTTCTACAGCACAACGCAGATGGGATGGGAGACTTTTGTGTTGTATTTCACAGGTGGGATTTTGAGACTTTTGTGGTTTATTTCTCAGATGGGATTTTGACAGTTTTGTGCTGTATTTCTCAGATGGGATTTTGACAGTTTTGTGTTGTATTTCTCAGATGGGATTTTGACAGTTTTGTGTTTTATTTCACAGGTGGGATTTTGACAGTTTTGTGGTTTATTTCCTCACAGATGTGATTTTGAGTTTTGTGTTTTATTTCACAGGTGGGATTTTGAGAGTTTTGTGGTTTATTTCCTCACGAGGCTCCCTGGTCTGTGGTTTGACAGCTACTGATACCCAAGGGGCAGTGGTAGATTTTTCTTTGCTCTTTTGGTGTTATTTGCATGGTTCTTTTCAATATTACCTTATCATACAGACATTTTAGCTATTTTTACAAGTACTTTCAATCAATATTAGCTATTTGACTCTTGAATAGATATTTTACTATTGAATAGATATTGCACTATTGTCAGTTACAAAAATAAAGGCATTAGTTATTATTTCACAACTACAATTATTATTATTTCATTAATTTATTTTAATTGTATAATTATTATTAATATTAATAGGTATGATTACAAATTAATAAGATATTATTATTAGTGTTGTTATTATTATTATTTCACTACTACAATTACTTCTGTAGAAGTTAAAGTTATAATACACAGTGCATAATATTTTGCAAAAGCCTAAACTATAATATATATTTATCACACTAAGATACACAATCCACACAGGGATTAGAGTACTAACTATAAAAGGCTGACAAATTATACTACATCAAAAGCAGTTAAAAAGAGATTACAAACTCTAGTCTATCAAAATAATTTACAAAAGCCAATAATAGCAAAATACAATAACTACATAGTTATTTATAACACACCCCCAGGATAAATAGCCTGGGATAAATCCAACCCACAACCACTGAAATTATTCTTATTTTCTTCTTAACTTTAATAAACATCACCCCTTTTCATGCTGCTTATCACCAGTGTAATCAGTGTTATCTCCTTATAAATTATCCCACAACTGCCAGAACACAGAATTACATCCTCAGGATTATGATATTTCCTAGCCTGGCAAAGGTTTTATAATTCATGGGAAGAATTTGAAAGTCTTGACAAAAGTGGTTAAAGGAGCACAAAACCAGCAGAACTCCACTAATCATAACATGAGCCAGGAATGGAAATTAAGGGAAAATAAAAAACACAGAGGTGAAAAGTGGAGCTCAGCAATGATCAGGTTTTCAGCAGCTCTTTTTTAATCAACACACATCCACACCTCAGTAAATAAAGAGATTTATAGAGACATTTAAAATGTCCTGGCCAAAAAAAGGAGGCACAGACTTGAAGCAGTAGTTGTTTATCCTCAACTCCTACCTTGTGTTTCAGACCAGTCTGATATTTTTAAAAATAAATCTATTTTCAAAGCAGCTGTTCTTATCTACATATTGGAAAATAAGAGCTATTTTTTAAAAAATCCAAAATCACAGAATGGTTTGGGAGGGACCTTAAAGCCCATCCTGTTCCACCCCTGCCATGGGCAGGGAATCTCCCATAATCCCAGGTTGCTCAGAATTTCAGTAATTTTATCTAGAAATGTTTTTCAATATTTACTTGTCAGGAAAGTGCCACAAAATGCCTGTGCTAATGTGAACAAAAGAACTGGGATATGGAACAACTGAAGGAAACCAAGGAAATATTTAAGAACAAACCTTAAATAGTTTTGTCTGGGCATTAAACTTGCAGCTGAGAAATGTGCGTTGATGAACTCTGAGAAATTAGCTGAAAGTTATACTGAAAATTCCCTCAAATCCTCTGTGTGTGGCCACAGCTGCAGAAACCAAACAAACCAGACTAAATTTAGGAAGGACCTTGGGACACGGAGCACATCCAGAGGGGACAGCCAGGCTGGAGAGGGGCTGGAACACCAACCCTGAGAGGAAGCCCTGAGGGAGCTGGGGGTGCTCCCCTGGAGAAAAGGAGACTCAGGGGTGCCCTCCTCACTGTGCACAGCTCCTGAAAGGTGCCTGTGCTCAGCTGGGCTGGGCTCTGTCTGCAGCAGCACTGACACAGCCAGAGCACACAGCCTGCAGCTGCACCGAGGGAATGCAGGCTGCAGAGCAGGAAAGAGTTTTTCCAGCAAGGTGATAAAGTTCTGGAATGGCTGCCCGGGGAGGTGCTGCAGTCACCATCCCTGGGGGTGTTTAACACAGCCTGGATGTGGCACTGGGGGCCAGGCTTTGGCTGAGCTCTTGGGGCTGGGCTGGGCTCCATGGGCTTGGAGGGCTCTCCCAACCCAGGGATTCTGGGATTCTGTAAATAAACCTAAATTGCACTTCTAAGTGTGCCAGCAAATCTCCTGCAAGGGCCCTGCTGGTGGTTCAGCATTAGCAGCAAGCTCTGTGTGACAAATAACCCGATTTCTCCCAGCAGTGAGACAAACCTGGGCCAGCAGCAGGAGCAGCCAGGGCTGGCTCCAGGGATGGCACTCACCACTGGAACTGTGCTGAGAATGTCCCCCCGGGCTCAGTGCCCCTGTAACCCCAGTGCCAGGAGCAGCCAGGGCTGGCTCCAGGGATGGCACTCACCACTGGAACTGTGCTGAGAATGTCCCCCCGGGCTCAGTGCCCCTGTAACCCCAGTGCCAGGAGCAGCCAGGGCTGGCTCCAGGGATGGCACTCACCACTGGAACTGTGCTGAGAATGTCACCCCGGGCTCAGTGTCCCTGTAACCCCAATGCCAGGAGCAGCCAGGGATGGCTCCAGGGATGGCACTCACCACTGGAACTGTGCTGAGAATGTCACCCCGGGGTCCCTGCCCTGGTAATCCCAGCTCAGGGTGAAATTGGTGTTCACCACGTGCACCCGCACGTCCTCTGGGCTCGGCAGGCTGCTCTGGCCTAGGAGAAACCAGCAAGCACAGAAATCAAACGTTACAATCAGAGAAAATATAAAGATTAAATTAAAATAAAATGTTAAATAGAATAAAGTATTATGCTAAAAAGTCAGTAAAATATTAGGATAAAATTAAAATAAAGTATTACAAAAAAAAGGCAAAATGAAGATAAAATATTACAGTAAAACACAAAAATAAAGTATTAAGATAAAATTAAAATGTTAAAATAAAGTATTACAATAAAAAGCAAATAAAATATCAGGATGAAATTAAGATAAAATATTACACGAAAAAGCAAAGAAAATATTAAGATAAAATTAAAATAAAATGTTAAAATAAAACAAAGTATTATGATAAAAAGCAAATAAAACATTAAGATAACATTAAAATGAAATGTTAAAAAGCAAATAAAATATTAAGATAAAATTAAAATAAAATGTTAAAATAAAATAAAATAAAGTATTATGATAAACAGCAAATAAAACATTAAGATAAAATTAAAATAAAATACTAAAATAAAAAGCAAATTAAATATTAAGATAAGATTAAAGTAAAATATTACAATAAAATAAAATCTAAAGTAAATAAAATATAATAATAATTGTAGTAAATGCAATAAAAATTAAGTAGAACAAAAATAAAATGAATAAAATAAAAACTAAAAAGTAAAAAATAAAATAGATATAAAATTAAAATAGAACACAAAATAAAAATTAATGAAAATTTAAAAATACACACAATAAGTAAAACACAATAAAAACTAACAAAATATTTAAAAAATATTCTATAGAATAAAAATTAAATCAAAACATAATCAAATTTAAATAAAATGAAATAAAAATAAATAAAAATTTAAACAAAATAAAAGAAATAAAACACACCTCTTGGCCTTGACATTCTGTTTTATCTGTTCCTATTTCACCTGAAGCAATTTAGTAACGACTTCCCAAGGGTTACAATTTCAAAGGCACATCTGAAAGTGCTGCTTGGGATCAGTCTGATATTAGATTTTATGAGGAGGAAACCAGAACCAATAAATCCCATTGCAGCTGGGACTCCCTGGACAGTGATGGCTTATCCTGACCCTGCCTTTGGGACAGGCTCTTCATTACAAATCCCATATTTTATTTATTTTTCCCCACAGGTTCCCTGTCTGCAAAGGGGACGTGTGGAAAAGCAGAATGACTGAATTGTGCAAATCCTTTTGGAGAATTAAGTGGGACCCACCGGCTGCAGATTTTGGGAAATAACTCCTGAAAGCACAAAAACATGAAAGCCAAATCGTTCAACAAATCCTCGTGGCTCCCACTACAGAATTTATTCCCACAAGGAGGAATTTGTTGCTCTTCTGACAGAGTAAGACAAACCCAGAGAATGCCAAAGGACGTTTGCTCAGAAAATAAGAAAACAAAGGAAAAAACAGATTTTTTTCCCCAGATATTTATCCAACAGATGGCTACAATTCAACCAAAACCCTTGTGACAACAAGGGCCCCACGGACTCCAACTGATAAAAACGCTACTACCTTCCAATGATTAGAGTATTTATGTTTGCCTTGGGCAGAAATTCAAATATTTAGTGTATTTTGCCATCTTTTCAAATCCTTAATTTACAGGGCATGAGGCTTTCCAGGACTCCTTGCCAGACCTCAGCAGGCCAGATGGCAAAAAGGAGCAGTGGGAGCAGGAGGGAGATCCTGTCCCTGTTGTGAGCAGAGATTTTCTGTGCTTTAACCCAGCCTGGTTTCGTAGAGCTGGGAAATACCCCAGGAAGGTTATTTCCAACACAGCTCCCAACCAAGAGAAAGCTGAATGGCAGCAGCAATTCCTTACGTTTTCCTTTTAAGCCAAATTTCAGCTTCCTGAAGGAATTTTATTGTTCTCTTTTGTATTCATTCCAAAAGGTTCAACTTGCTTGAAGCAGTGTAAAAAAAATCACAATAAATGGCTGAGATTAATGAATGGAGGTCTAATTTGTGAGACATGACCTAATATTTCTCTTCTAATGAGCACTGCTATGCCCTGATACTTTTGGGGTTTCTAAAAACACCCAACAAAATAATGCTGTGTAATTTATGGGTATTTTTTTTAATTTACAGGTCTGCTATTTTAACCCTCCTCTCTTTGCCCTGCACATTTTCCTGTTCAACACCACTGCACTTGTTTCCTGGAGTACTGATCCAGTTCCTCAGGATACTTCTGGATCTTCTACCCTACAGACAGGAATATGTGATCCAGCCATCCATCCTTTCACATATTTCACTACTTCCAATGAGTTTTGTGCTTGCTTCCCTAAATTAATTCCACAAATCATTAATTTCCCAATGAATAGCTATAAAGGAAGGAAGGAGCAAACTCAGTGATGTTTAATCAGCAGGGAAATTTTGTGAGGTAGGAACTTGATATGCAAAGAAAAGCCTAAAAATCAACACCTCCTCCTGGCTTATTTTATTAATGGTTAAAAGCCAGACATTTAAAACTAATTCCTGTTTGTCCACTTGAGCATGACGACACTTTGGTTCTGAGAAACCATTGTAAGGGATTAGAATTTTGTGGAAAGAAGAGATTAAAAACCAGAAATGCCTATCTCCCTCCCCTGTCAAATTCCAATAAATTAAACCAACCCAAACTGTTCTAACACAGAAAAATTACTGCTTTGTTCATGAGATGCTCAGCAATGTTGACGGTTGAAAATAATAATGATTACATAACAACATCTATTCAGCAACAGGAGAAAGCAAGAAATGGCAACACAGCAAACCCCTGGTCAGGGGAAATCCCAGGAGGAGCACATGATGCTCGCTGCTTACGACATCCTGGGGTGCAGGAGCCAGTGGAAAATTTCAGTCAACGTTTCAGCAGAAGAAGGAAGAGGAGGCCCCTTACATGTGACACCAGAAAAGGCTCTGAAGGACTCTGATGTGCAAAGAAACTCAGGGCCAGAGCTTTGAGCAGCAGCACAGGGAAAGCTGGGCTTGGCTCAGGGGAAGGGAGAGGTCACTGAAGCAGAGCTATTGGAATTTCCAGAGTTAGAATCAGACACTGGCTGGGATTTCAGAGCCCACCCGTACCCAGGTGGATCCAAGCCCCAGTGTCCAGCCTGGCCTTGGGCACTGCCAGGGATCCAGGGGCAGCCCCAGCTGCTCTGGGAATTCCATCCCAGCCCCTGCCAACCCTGCGCACACGACACATCCTCACCGACACCGTTATCCAGCCCTCATCCCCGCAGAGCTCCGGGACCGCGGCGGGACCCGCGCCCCGCTCTCCCCTCGGCCCCGGGAGGGGGCCCCGCACCGGCCCCGCTCCCTGCGGGCGCCCGGGACCCACCTGCGCAGGGCAGCGGGACCGGCAGCAGCGGCAGCACAGCCGCCAGCCAGAGCCCGCCCGGCACCCACAGCCGCCGCCGCTCCGCCGTCCTTCTACCCCATGGCTTCTCCGTCCATCCATCCCCGGGCTCCTCCGTCCATCCATCCCCGGGCTCCTCCGGCTCCTCCGTCCATCCATCCCCGGGCTCCGCCGCCACTCCAGTCCTGGTCTCCGCCATCCAGGGCAGCGCTGCCGGAAGCGCCGGCGGCCGCGCTTGCGCGGAGCGGCCCGGGCGCTGTGAGGGCGGTCGGGGCTGTGTGAGAGCGCTCAGGGCTGTGTGAGGGCGATGTCGGGGCTGTGCGAGGGCGGTGTCGGGACTGTGAGGGACGGTCGGGGCCGTGAGGGCGGTGTCGGGGCTGTGCGAGGACGGTCAGGGCTGTGAGGGCGGTCAGAGCTGTGTGAGGGCGGTGTCGGGGCTGTGAGGGCGGTCAGAGCTGTGAGGGCGGTCAGGGCTGTGAGGGCGGTCAGAGCTGTGAGGGCGGTCAGGGCTGTGAGGGACGGTCGGGGCTGTGTGAAGGCGCTCTGAGGGCGGTCAGGGCGCTCTGAGGGCGGTGTGGGGACCCCCTGCCCCTCCCGGAGCTCTCCCTGCCGCCCCAGGCACCGGCCGGTGTCACCAAGTGACAGCACAGCCCGAGCCGGAGGCACCCGCGGCGGTCACCGGCCCTGCACAGCCCTTGGCACAAACCCAGGGTCACGGAGCTGCTCCAGGGCTGGAGCCCCTCTGGAGCCAGACTGGGAGAGCTGGGGTGCTCCCCTGGAGAGGAGAAGCTCCAGGGAGAGCTCAGAGCCCCTGGCAGGGCCTGAAGGGGCTCCAGGAGAGCTGCAGAGGGACTGGGGACAAGGGATGGAGGGACAGGAGCCAGGGAATGGCTGCCAGTGCCAGAGGGCAGGGCTGGGTGGGATCTGGGCAATGAGGAATTGTTCCCTGGCAGGGTGGGCAGGGGCTGGGATGGAATTCCCAGAGCAGCTGGGGCTGCCCCTGGATCCCTGGCAGTGCCCAAGGCCAGGCTGGACACTGGGGCTGGAGCAGCCTGGCACAGGGGAAGGTGTCCCTGCCATGGCAGGGTGGCACTGGGTGGGATTTAAGGTCCCTCCAGCCCAAACCATTCCATGATTCTGTGATTGTCTGGGAAGGGAGGAATCTCTCTTTAGCTGCAGTTTGTCCATTTGTGAAATGTCCAATTGAATGCTGCAGTGAACATTAAATGCAGTGTGAGTGTTACAGCCCCTGAACTGGGGCTTGGGCTCAGCTCCGTTTTGCCAGCCACAAGTTCTGACCACAAGCTCAGAGAGCTCCTCTTCTGGTTTTTTTTGTGTCGTATTTACCATGGGCCAGCTGCAGGCTTGGGGAGGTAAA